AATACCCTTACACTTAATTTTTCTAAAGTTGCCAAGCAAAGTGCTTATAGTAAGAAACACTTAAAATGTTTGTCCACCAGCCACTGACTGTGTGGCCCGGTTAAGGACTAGGGATTAAGGCACTCAGAAGATGAACTCAAGTGAGACGGAATGCTTGGCCAGAGCAAGACGCCTGTCTGTTCCCCAACAGGTTGCAAGAAGTGAAAGGCATGGCCGACCGCATCATTAGCATGAGGACCCAGTTGGTCTCCAACCTGAAGAAAGAGGGCTCCTCCCACAACTGGCAGCACATCACCGACCAGATCGGCATGTTTTGTTTCACTGGCCTGAAGCCTGAGCAGGTGAGTGGGCTGTTTCTCACAGCCAACCCGGAGACAGTAGACCTGTCCATAAAGGCAAGCCAGACTCTGTCAGTGGTCACCTACAAAATCATTTCCTTAATTAGAGTCCATTAGGTACAGGTGTCACGTGGTGGTCCTGGGTTTGGTGATGCCGCTGTGTTGTTGTGAGATGGGGGCTCATTAGTGTCACCCAGGCTGGTCACTCAGGCTCCAGCATCCCCACCTCACCCCGTACCTGGGACTGCCGTCATTGTCACTGAAGTACATACCTTGGAGGGGGGAGTGGTTTGTTTGTTTTTTTCTTTTTTGGTTTTTGGCTTTGTTGTTTTTCTAGTTTGTTGTTGGGGTGGAGGGGTCTTTTGTGGGGGTTGTGTTTTGGTTTTTGTGGTCTAGGGATCAAACCCAGGGCTTTGCATGTGGTATGTGATAGCTGGTTTGCGTGTGTTTATGCTGACTGCTGGTTCATCAAAAGGGAAAGGGAAATAGCTATCATAACTGAATCCTAAGTCTGCTTAGTTTGGGGTTTCATTCTTACTGTCTATGCCTTGGCAATCACAGTCCTGCTTTAACATACCTGTTTTTCTTGTCTGTACGAATGCACACCCCATGGCATGCGTGTAGGTCAGAAGGCAGCCTTCAGGAGTCAGTCCTCTCCTTCTGCCACCTAAGTTCTGGGGATGAGCTCGGTCCTCAGGCTCGTTCGCGAGCACCTTACCCGCTCAGCCGTCTCACAGGCCCCATCATTCTACTCTAAAATAGCCTTTTATTCTTCTTTCACTCCGTCTAAACACACCAAATTCTGTTCAAGTGAGAAAGTTAAGGTTTTGTTATTTTTTTAACAAGTTGACTATTGTGTGCCCTGTCGGGGCTGGAAAAATTTCCCCACCGGAAGTTGTCAGTCTCTCTTCCCTCTACAGGTGGAGCGGCTGACCAAGGAGTTCTCAGTCTACATGACGAAGGATGGCCGCATCTCGGTGGCAGGGGTCACCTCTGGCAACGTGGGCTACCTTGCCCATGCCATTCACCAGGTCACCAAGTAACGACCAGGGTGCAAAGGAGCAGAGACCACCTTTCCTTCAGCCTTGGCTCTCGTGAGAGTCGCGTGCAGGACGGGGGTGGGTGGGGGGTGGTGAGTAGATCATGTTTTCAACCACAGTGCATAACGAATGTGTTCCTCGGAGAAGAGGTAGGGCAGAGGCTTCCGCGGCTGGTGTCTGCAGCTTCGTCGGCTCTAAACCAAACCCCCTCGTCCTTTTGTCTCCAACTTTTCTGAAAGAGTTTACACATGCAAGAACATCGCAGCACCAAAAACCTGTCAGCCAGGGCTTTACTGAAGCATCAGGTGCTTCCCCGGGGACCCACCTGAGACCGCCATATTAGAGGTGGTGAGAGGAAAACCCCTAGTTCTGACGTTAGCGGATGTCCATGTGTGTGTGCCGTCCCGGTGTGAGTGACTGTGTCAGCAGACCCCATTACCGAAATCATGCTTTACCAAAACCACCAGGTCTGTCGCCCGGTCGGCGAGGGCGGTAAATGTCGTCTCGTCAGCCCGTCTCTTGTCATTCTGCTTCTCTGGTGTCCCGTCCCGTTCTGCTTGACTGACCATTAACCTCATCCTGTCAGGATTTCTGTAAGAATGGAGAACAGAGTTTGTTTTTTTTTTTCCTGCTCATGCCAGCCCTCCTTTCTCAGCAAAGGACAGCGGAGAGTGGGACCCTGCACTTTTTCAGCCCCCGTCAATGATTGGCTCCTACTGGACGGGGCCTCTGCCCAGCTGGACCTCTTCCTGCACCCTGGCTGCACAGCCTGTCTCCTCACATGAGTCAGACAGTGCAGGGTGGGGTCAGGAGATATTCTGGGGTTTGTGTGCTGCCAGCCCGGCTCAGACTCCGCCCTTTGGAAAGCTAACCACCATCTGCTCGAATCCTGTAGACTGGCTGCCGCCTGGTTTCTCTGTTACAATAAAGTTACTGTAGACCCAGCCACTGTCTACTCTTCTACTTAATGGGAGGAAGGGGGAGGAGTGGATGTACATTCTAAAGTCTGGAGTCATGTCCAGCTGATGTAAGCCAAAAGATGGATCAGCTTTCCAGTCCCAACTAGAAATGCATCTGGCTCTTCATCCTGCCTTTTAGCTGGTCTGGTCCAAAGGTGCAGGTGGGTGTAATTCCTCAGACCTCAGGAGATGAGAGGGTAGAGTGTAACAAAGGAAAAAATACTGACATTCCTCACAAAACTGGAAAAAATTAACCAAATTTACATTGAAGCACTAAAGACCACAGATATCAAATCCTTAGCAAAAAACAACTACCAGCTGTATCATAATTCTGATCTCAGACAATGCTACATAGAATGCTATAGCAACAAAGACAGCACCATGTGGACACAAAGACAGGCCAAGGGAACGAACAGAAGATCAGAAATCAACCCACACAGCTATAGACATCTAGTGGGTTTTTTTTTGCAGGGGAGGGGAGTTCAAGACAGGTTTTCTCTGTGTAGCCCTGGCTGTCCTGGAACTCCCTCTGTAGACCAGGCTGGCCTCAAACTCAAAGATCTGCCTGCCACTGCCTCTGGAGAGCTGGGATTGAAGGTTTGTGCCACAACTGCCTGACTTAAACATCCAGTTTTTAACAGAGATATGAAAACCTACACTGTGCCTGGCTGGATGGAACAATGAAATAAGGACAGAGAGATGGTACAAGTGTTCACAGCACTTGTTGCTCTTGCCGAGGACCCAGGGTGGGTTCCCACAGGGCGGCTCACAACCGTCTGTAACTCCAGTTCCAGGATATTCAGTATACTCTTCTGACAAGGGCCCTAGGAACACACTTAATTCACATTGCATACAACACACAAAAATCTGGAAAAAAGAATGAAATGAAATCTGCAACCCAAAAAATCATAAACTTGGCACAGTGGCACACAGCTTTAGTCCCAGCACTCAGGAAGCAGACTATCTGTGAGTTCAAGGCCAGCCATGGCTACACAGTGAGACGGCCTCTCACACCCTCAATTCATAGTAAAGCAAATACATTAACTTTAAACTGCCAGAGGAAAGCATAGGGAAACATTTGTGATATAGGCATGGGCAAGAACTTTCCGAAAACTCAAATTCTCATTGTGATGCCATTTGGAGATGTGTAGAACCCTCCAATGGTGTCAGGGACCTCATAAGAAGAGGCTGGAGTCAGCCTGCTTCCTCCCTCTGCTCTCTACATAGGAAACAGAATGGAGCAGAGCAGGAGGCCCACACCAGAAGCTTTCTTGCAGACACCCAATCCCAGACTTCCCAGCTCCTGGAGCAGCAAGTGCTCTATGAGGTATGAACGTCTCTACAGAACCAGACTCCAGTCATGAGATAAACCTTTCTCGAACAAATATGCTCGACTTACCACTTCCATTGTTTAACCTACCCAGCTCAGCATCCAGTTACAGCAACCCGTATGGAGAATGTGTGATTTCAATAACAGGGTCTCACTGTGTAACTCTGGCTGCCCTGGGACTCTGTGTAGACCAGGCTGGCCTCAAATTGCCAGAGATGCACCTGGCTTCCCAAGTGCTAGGATTAAAGGCTTAGGACACCATGTCCTACTCTAACCTTCTTAAAGTGAAAAGCCTTTAGGAATAGAGAACAAAGGTCCACGGAGGGGGTTCAGTCACTAAGAACACTTGTGTGAGCATGAGAACCTGAGTCTGAATTCCCAGAACCCATGAGGAAGTAGAGACGGGCAGGTCCTTGGAGCTGTTTGGCCAGCCAGTCTACTCCAAACGACCAGCTTCCAGTTCAGTCACAGGCAGAAAACAATGAAGGAAGACATGCAGTGTCCTCTAGCCTCCACATTCTGCCCACAGGCACATGTACCCACATACATGTGCACACATCCATACACCACACACAACACACACATACCTAAGGAAATGGGTGGATTTGAGATTCTAGGAGGCATCTGGTCAGAGGGAGGTTAAGTGTTAAAATAAAAAGACTACTCAGGTAGGCAAACACCTCTCCCTCCCTCCCTCCAAATCCAGTCCCCCAGTCTCATCCCCATCTCTGTAGTCTTGATTCAGCCTTCCCCACCCCACCCCACTCCCCTCTCCAGTGGATCACACAGATCTTCCCCTCCTAACCTCCATCCCCCGCCCCCCCCTCCAACTTAACTGCTTTATCCCAGCCCCCAACTCCAACAGCACTCCCCGGGAACCCACAGGCCACTGACCAGGGAAGCCAGTAGGTTAAACCCACTCTCCCTCTCCTCCAAATCCAGTCCCCCAGCCTTACCTCCAGTTCTGTAGCAGAACATCTGCTGTGGCCTTCCTCCTCCCCGACCCCCACCTCCAGCAGATCACACGGATCTTTCCCTCCCCTCTCTAAACTTTACACATTGCTTTATCCCAGCCCCGAACTCCAAGAGGCATTCCCTGGAAACCTGCAGGCCACTCTGGCCAGGAGGGAAGCAGGCAGGCTAACTGCCGGTCTTCACCTCTCCCTCCATTCTTCCAAGTCCCATGTTACGTGGAGCCCACCAGAGATGACCGCTCAGATACAGTTTACAGCCAATTGAAAGTCTTTATGACAGCCGGCTAGAACTACACTCAGGTACTCAGGACCCAAGAGTAGTTTTGAGCATTTAGAGCAAGGGGCTCTTAGAGGCAGAAACCGCATCCTGGCATCTCGTTCAGCAGCTACAGCGGAGGGTTTTGGGAAGCAAGCAGGTTACTAGAAGTTGAGATAAGTTAGCTGGAGCATCTTGACCTCGGGTTCCTAGAATAGAGTTGGGTAATTTTCCACGGGATTCTCCATCAAGGAGATCAAATTTTACTTAAACCTAAAATGGCCTCAGCAAGAATAGAAGATGGAGGAGCCTCTGTGTTGTCCAGCCCTGTCACACCAATCCACCAGGCTCATCCCCAGCTCTGTAGCAGACCACCAGCTTTGGCCTCTCCTCGCTCTCTGCCTAGCGGACTAAGCAGATCCTGATGAACACCTGCTTTCCTCCCTCCTGTGCCCCACCCCCCAGCCCCTCCTCCATGCCAGGTGTTCTGTGTTGTATGAGATGATCAAAGAAGGAGGTCACTCCAAGATGAAGTTTAGGCCTGTGTGGCAGCAGGAACATGTAGCCTTTGATGGACTGACTGAACTCCAAACAGCCATTCAAAGGCGTGTTTATTGATGATTACACAAAGTTAGTTTTTTGGATAAACAAGTTCATCATACCAAAGTCCTTGATCTATATGTTTTTCTGAAGAAAAGCATCACACACACACCCCACACTTTAGTCTTTATTGTCTACTGTTTGCAGTACCCAATAATTCAAGAGCTCCAGGTGGACCAGGAACATCTTGTGACAAAGTCACACAAAGGCTGTAAAGCTGCTTCAGAAAAACAACTCTAAAAAGGACAAAAAACAACCACTGTTTGAATGAAAGAAAACAATCTTTCCACCAAGATTTCTTCAATGTCAAAGTTCTCCGAAAACAACTATTCATTGTGATGTTTACCTTAGAAACAATGAAAACAACTATTCTGTTCTAATGTTTGCCCTTGATACAGTAACTCTGCTAGACTCCTACAACACCTTTTAACCCATCCCAACTCCTAAGTGTCAGCTCCCGATACCTAGCAACACTTTTTACCTGGAACCCCCAGTAGCCCTACCCGTCAGGATCCCGGAAGAAATTCCTACCAGGCAGCACACAGCCACCACACTCTCCTAAGAACCAGAAAGTGCAACAGAAACCAAGAAACAAAACACCACCCAAAAAGGACAAGGCCAGATATCAGCACCTAGAATTACAATTCTCCCAAACACAGATGCCTAGACGCCAACATAAAAACACAATCAATAACAGCCAGGACAGTATGTCTTCACTAGCGCCCAGTAACCCTACCACAGCAGGCGCTGAATATTCCAGCACAGCAGAAGCACAAGAAAAAGATCTTAAAACAGCCTCTGTTGGCCAGGCAGTGGTAGTGCACGCATTTAATCCCAGCACTCTGAAGCTAGTCTAGTCTACAGAGTGAGTTCCAGGACAGCTAGGGCTATTACACAGAGAAACTCTGTCTCAAAACAAAACAAAACAAAACAAAAGCCTTTATAAATATAATAGAGGTCCTTAAAGGGAAAATGAATAAAATCCCTTAAAGAAATCTATGAAATCAGAAGTCAGAGGCAGGCAGATCTCTGAGTTCAAGGCCAACCTAGTTTACAGAGTGAGTTCCAGGACAGCAAGGACTACACAGAGAAACCCAAACAGAGAGAGAGAGAGAGAGAGAGAGAGAGAGAGAGAGAGAGAGAGAGAGAGAGAGAGAAACAAAATCAAACAGTGAAAGGAAATTAATAAAACAGTTCAAGACCTGAAAGTGGAAATAGAACCAATTTAAAAAAAGGGGCGGGGGCGGCTGGAGAGATGGCTCAGAGGTTAAGAGCACTGGTTGTTCTTCCAGAGGTCCTGAGTTCAGTTCCCAGCACCCACATGGTGGCTCACAACCATCTGTAATGAGATCTGGTGCCCTCTTCTGGCCTGCAGGGATATGTGCAGGCAGAACACTGTATGCATAATAAATAAATAAATCTTTGAAAAAAAAAAAAGTTTAAAAAAAAAAAAACCAAAAACCTCAAACTGAGGGAAACCAGGAAATGAAAAATTAAGGAACTCAAACAGGAACCTCAGAGGCAAGCCTCACCAACAATACAAGAGATGAAAGGGGAACTCAGGCACTGAAGACACTTTTTAAATCTAAAAACCCCTGGCACAGAACATCAGCAAATCTGGGACACTATGAAAAGACAAAATCTATGAGGAATAGGAATACAGGAAGGGAAGAAATGAAATCCATGTCAAAGGCACAGAAAATATTTTCAGCAAAATCACAGAAGAAAATTTCCCTAACTTAAAGGAGATGCCTAGCAAGGTATAAGAAGTATATAGAACACCAAATACCAAGTAGACTGTACCAGAAAAGAATTATTATTATTA